AAAACTGAGGGTGATTGAAGCAATTTCTTTTCTTCAGAAAAAAAAGTTCAATAAAATTCAATATGAAACTTCGACATTATCATATGACGCGTATGATTCTTTTTTAAAAATTAAACAATTTCTACTGCCCTTTCTGCAATGGAAAAATTAATTGGAGGGCCTGGCTGATCAGTGGTGAATCCTCCCAGTGGTTTCGCCAGTAGAAATTGTTTAATTTAAAAAAAATAATCATACGCGTCTATATATATACACCTATCCCCCGATTTACACGGTACTTGTTTTAAACGTTTTCGCTTTTACACGGTTTTCCAAATAAGTTTTTTTTTTTTTTGTTTTTATCGCACTATACTAAATTTGTGCTACTGTGCTATTGTATGTTGCTACTGTGAATGAACACATGCGCTGTGTTTTCACATCTCACGAGGAATCCCGAGCTTATGTGCTGACTACATATTTTAACCTGTCAATGCATTTTATTTTTATTTCTGTCTACACCTATCCCCCGATTTACACGTTTTTCTCAGGAACGTATCTACCGTGTAAATCGGGGGATAAGTGTATATAATGGTTTTGAATTTTCATAACAGATGGCGCGTTAATGCATTATAATAAAAATTCAATATAAAATAATGCCTTGTATTAATATTAAAGTGAAAATATCAGGTTCTAGGGGAAAAGTTTCTTTTCAAAATCTTTAATCTCTAGATATCTGACACGAAAGTCCTTCTACAGGAGAAAACCCAATACAATAATGGAAAAAATGGCCAATGTGAGATTCAATTCCAAGACGTGGGTGTCTAAAAATGGACTGTTTATACCACTCTTCCACCACCAAACCCTAATGTTTGTTGTTGTTTTTTGCTAATCCCTAGTACACGTGGTACAGGCCATGATAATCATGGTGGGTAGTTAACGACTGCTTTTACTGTAAGTGCACTCTATGTCTACATAGGTGAAAAGCAGTTCGACTTTACACTTACAAATGTGCCAGAGCCCCATTTGATTACTTGCTCTCGCTGGTGGGGTTGGAATTTTGCAAGAATCGGGGGCCATTGGAGCATTTTTTTTTTATTGTTTGTTGTAAGACCAACTAGAGTTATTATCCCAGATAACAGCTAAGATTTCAAATAAATAAAAAGTGTCTTATTTCATATTTACACGCTCAAATCATATAAAAGTACAGTAGAACCTCCCTGTAAAGGAAAACACCTAATTGCAGAGCCAAAGTGTCCTTTAAAGAAAGGTGTCCTCTTACCGGAGAGTTGTTAAATAGTAAAAATGGTAATTTTGCAAATGAAAACTGTCCTTTGTGGAAAGGTGTCTGCTAAAGAGATGTTCTACTGTACCAATCATTGAGTTTATAATGGTATTTGCTAGAGAGACTGCAGGAAAACAAGGGGACACCACTATCACACAGCATTATTTCTCCCCACAAAAAAAATCCTCAATGAAGGCTTAACAACAAAAAAGAAACTTGTCTCCCTAGCATTTACAAAGACATCCTCTTTTGGGGGGACCTGATTAAGAAGTCACACCAGTCTGAATATATAGATAAGTCCTGTAGAAGGGGTGTTAAAGCCAAATACAGTAGAACCTCCCTTTAGCGGACACCCTTCTAGCAGACACCTCTCCACAAAGAACAATTTTTATTGACAAAATTACTATTTTTACAATTTAGCAACTCTCTGGTAAGAGGACACCTCTCCCTAAAGGACACATTGGCTCTGCAATTAGGTGTCCTTTACAGGGAGGTTCTAATTTATTAATATTTGCATTAAAGAATGGATTTTTTTTTTTGCCGAATAATAGGGAAGATAGGGGTGTTTACCTCCAGCTTCCTGACAAAGATCTTCATCTTCTCATAGTTGAGGTGTTCCCTGTAGAGACCGCATTCCTTGGCCTCCTGCTGGGTGAGGAAGGGGATGAAGTCAGAGATCAGAGCTGGATGGTCCTTCAGAGGAGCCATGCATTCCTTGTAGAGCTGCAACAGTAGATATCTCAGTGGTAGCACAGAAAAAACCTACACTGCTTTATTTTGCTTATCCCTAGTACAAACTCCGCCTTTGCCGGTCCCAAGCCCGGATGAAAAAGGAGGAGAGGGAGCAGTAACAAGCTCACTAAAAAACCTGGGCTCAGCTGGCCCGGCTGATAGTATCCTGTAAGGAATCCAGGGATACAGGATGAGCAGAGTTTGTACTCCATATTAGGAGCGGCTGCACATAGCATCTGTTCCTCATGTCAGAGGCGGACATTTATTTTGGAGCTAAGTTGGCCTGCCACTGAGTAGTGCTCCCAGTCTTAATGACAAAGGCAGACGCATTCTATTTCACCCAGTGTGGAGATAAGAAAGAAGAAGAAGAAGACATATGGTACATCATGAATGGGTGAAGTAGAATGTTGCTGCCTTTGTCATTAAGACTGGTAGCACTACTCATCCCTGGCAGACACCATCAAAAGTCTCAAGCTTTACAATCTTTATACCCTAATATGATTGAGTGGAAAAAGGAAAGAAGAAATAGATACGTGGTACAGACCATGATAATCATGGTGGGTAGAATTAGGTGACTGCTTTTACTGTAAGTGCACCACATGTCTATACATGTGAAAAGCGGTTCGACTTTGCACTTACAAATGTACCAGAGCCCCGATTGGTTACTTGCACTTGCTGGTGGGGGTTGGACTTTTGCAGGAACCACTTTTGCAATTGCACAAATGTGAAATTTTACCGGAATAAAGTGGATAAATTAAGAAGAAGACATCTCCTTATCGTGCAACTGAAAGTTTCTGATGGCTTGCGCCATCTATCGGAATAAATATCAACTATTCATTAATTTTAAATTATATTGGTTATCTTTTCTTGATTAATCAAGAATGGTTATTTGGCCCCAATTCTGGAATAATTAAAAATGAAAGAATAGATTATATTTATTCCAATAGATGGTGCAAGCCATCAGCAACTTTCAGTTGTACGATAAGGAGATGACTTTGTCTATTTATACTCTTCTATTTATTTTAAGGCTACACACACTTTGACCATAGAAAAAAATAAATTCATTGAAGTTTCAACAAAAGTACAGTTAAACCTGTCTATAGCGCCCCCTCTAAATAAAGCCCGATTTTAAATATGTAGTATGATACGATTTACATTAAAAGTGACCTGTCTATACCACCTCCTCTCTATAGCACCCAAGAGGGGGCACTATAGGCAGGTTTAACTGTATTTTGTTCTCAATGGTTGCAAAGAGCATAGGTGTATAGTAAAAAGGATCACACACAAGTTTGGACTACATTTTGTAAGTGCAAACTCAAACTGCTTTTCACATGTGTAGACATGTGGTGCACTTAAGGTAAAAAGCAGTTGCCAACTTCTACCCACCATGATTATCATAGCCTGTACCACGTGTACTAGGAATAAGCAAAAAAACATTTTGTATACACAATGTTAAAGGAAAGAATACATGTTGTTGTTGTTTCTTATCCCCTTGTGTAAAGATTACACAAATTCCATGAGTTCATGCTCCTCCAGCTGTTTGATGATAAGCAGCAGCCTCTCCCAAAGGTCCTGTTTAGTACATCTAATGCAAGCCAAAATGTGTTCTGGAGCTGCAGGTGCCAAGCTACATTTTGGGCAAGTGGGGTAGATTTTGTTGTTATTTTCTATCTTCAACGGCTTGAGATGGTCTGTTCTAAATCTTGTTATATAGAACATAGAATATTGTATGGTACCTGCAGCTCCAGAACACATTTTGGCTTGCATTAGATGCACTAAACAGGACCTTTGGGAGAGGCCGCTGCTCATCATAAAACAGCTTGAGGAGCATGAACTCATGGAATTTGTGTAATCTTTACACAAGGGGATAAGAAACAGAATATTGTATGAAGCAATACTTAAAGCTGCACCGCATGAGTTTCTTTTCTGTGATAAATCAATATTTATTTTAAAGAGAAATATCTGCTATTTCTAACTTTTTTGGATGACGTATGAAAGGGTGAAAATATGAAGAGTGATGGTCTATATATAATTGGATGACGTATGAAAGGGTGAAAATATGAAGAGTGATGGTCTATATATAATTGGATGACGTATGAAAGGGTGAAAATATGAAGAGTGATGGTCTATATATAATTGGATGACGTATGAAAGGATGAAAATATGAAGAGTGATGGTCTATATATAATTGGATGACGTATGAAAGGGTGAAAATATGAAGAGTGATGGTCTATATATAATTGGACGACGTATGAAAGGGTGAAAATATGAAGAGTGATGGTCTATATATAATTGGATGACGTATGAAAGGGTGAAAATATGAAGAGTGATGGTCTATATATAATTGGATGACGTATGAAAGGGTGAAAATATGAAGAGTGATGGTCTATATATAATTGGATGACGTATGAAAGGTGAAAATATGAAGAGTGATGGTCTATATATAATTGGATGACGTATGAAAGGGTGAAAATATGAAGAGTAATGGCGAACGGAAAAATAAAAGTGTCCAGGGGCGGGAATCGAACCCACAACCTTCTGCTTACCGGGCAGGTGCCATGTCCACTAGGCTACCCTGGACGTATCCTTCCGTTCGTAACTAATACTTAAAGTAACTTATAATATATTATAAAGGACTGCGGCGCATGACATGGATTGATATGGTGACTACTGACCTGTTTGATGGACTTTGACCCGGACCTATGATGGAAATGGACCAGGCTGCGGATAAACTGCTTAAGCTGCTCGGGTTTGTCTGCCAAGGCCTCCTTCACTCGCATGAGGTAGTTCTTGACGTAGTTCTCCTTCTTCTCTTTCTTCTGCTCACACAGTGTACAACATCTAACAGAGGTAGCTTCAAACAACAACAAAGTAAGGATGATAAGTCACAATTTGGATTATAGATTAGAAACACACAAAGTAATTAAGATCCAAATAAATAAATAATTATATAATTGCCTTATTCTGTCTGTGTGAAGTTCACGGATAGATTTTGGTCAGAATGGATAAAATAAAAAAAGTGTCAAGGGATGGGAATCGAACCCATGACCTTCCGCTTACCGGGCAGATGCCATGACCACTAGTGTTAAAACTATTTTATAGATCCTTTTCCTTTGTACATAGAATGAAGATCTTAGGTGAAGGGAGACAACGAGCAAGACATCTATATCTATAGATAGCCCCAGCTTGGACCGACCGAGGGCAAAGGTCGGCGTGGGCGGAGACGACGGAGCGTCATGTTACATTCTTTTTTGGTCAGTTGGCAGGATTCCCTTGTTAGAAGCGGAGGGGAAAGTTGAGTTCCCTTGCCAGACGGAGAGACGTCTAAAAGCTATCCTGCAAGCAGCGTCTTGTGGAAGGAAAGACGTCAAGCTATCCTGCAAGCAGTGTCTTGTGGAAGGAAAGACGTCAAGCTATCCTGCAAGCAGCGTCTTGTGGAAGGAAAGACGTCAAGCTATCCTGCAAGCAGCGTCTTGTGGACGGAGAGAACGCATTGGAGTATCCCTCAAGCAGCAACTTGAGAGCGGAAAAGACACTTAGACAACCAACGAGTCGCGACAATTGGACATAGCACAAGACAAGCCAAGCCAAGCCAAGCCTGCGACGGTGCTGCCACGAGGTACTGTGTAAACAAACGCTCGACACCCCCCCGCCATTTATTTTTGTCTTCCTTCCCTGAGATTAGTTAATTTTTTTATTTTCTTTTTTGCTTAACCTTGTTTATTTTTTTATACATAATTCCATAGATATAAGTATAATTTAGCTTAACCTTTTTTCTTGTTTTTCTACCCTTAATTCTTTATATAAGTATAATAGTTTTTATCCCTTTTGTTTTTAATCCTAAAAATAAATCCTTTTTGTTATACTGTGTTTCTGTGCATTTATTTCCCCCATTGTTTTTCCTTTCAATCGATCACCCTTTATTTTTTTTTTTAAACGAACACGAACATTTTGGTGAGCCGGACGTGATCGATTTAAAGGAAATATGGAGGAAATGGATGCAATTAAAAAGCGCAGAAAAGCCATAAGAGGTACTTTCACTAGAATTATTAATGAAATAAATGGGGAATTTGAAAAGTCTCAAATTGATAGGAATGATATTTATTCCAAGTTTAATAGACTAGAGTCTTATTACACGAAACTTGTTGATCTAAACGAAAAATATCAGGCTTTATTGGTAGTGAAAGAAGGGATTACAGAGGAAAGTATTGATAAGGAATGGCAAGAATGCGATAAATATGAAGAGGAAAAGTTTGATATTCAACAGAAAGTCAGTGTACTACGGAATCCCGATAAAGAGGAAACAATCCCGATTGCTAGCGAGGACACTGTAATAAATGTGAAATTACCAGAGTTAGCCCTAAAAAGCTATGACGGCTCTCTGGAAGGTTGGTTGCCCTGGTGGGCGCAGTTTTCGAAAATTCACGAAAATAAGAATTTATCCGATAGCGACCGGTTTTTATATTTGCGTCAAGCAATTGTACCAAATTCAGAAGCCTATCGTGTTGTAGCAAGCTATCCCGTTACAGGCGCCAACTATGTTTTGGCAGTACAAGCCCTACAGGAGCGATTCGGTGACCCGAATATACTGACAGAACTGTATGTCAGACGTCTATTGAATTCGGTTATATCTAATGTAAAGAAAGAAAATAGAAATTTAAGCAGTCTGTACGACGAAGTGAGCAGTCACCTCCGGTCATTAGAGACATTGGGCATTGATCCCCAGTTGTCGGGTATTTTTTTATATCCTCTTGTCGAGTCTTCATTACCTTCGGATATTTTGAAAATATGGCACAGGCATCCTTCTTCGGGTTATGGTATGGAGTTAGCAAAACGGGAAGAGTCAGATAAAGGGGTTGGAGGAGCTCAAGAAAGGCTCAGGTTATTATTGGACTTTCTAAAAGCCGAAGTAAGGAGTGCTCAACGGCTGAAATTTGTGGAAAAAGGCTTTAAGCAGGAGGAACCCTATAAAAGGTCTTACAATGATGGGACCAGAACAAGGAGCAATTTCAGACCCGCCACTGTGTCTAGTCTGTTCGGAGGGCGAACTAATATAAAATGCTTCTTTTGTGAAAGAACAAATCATGCGAGTCATCAATGCCGTTCCATAATGAAAATGTCTCCGGGAGAGAGAAACGATAAAATACGTAGTGCCCATCTATGTTTCAAATGCTTGGGAAAGGGACACATACAGAGTCAGTGCCGAGAACAATTGGAGTGCAAAAACTGTGGGAGAAACCACTTGGACGTTTTATGTGAAGGAAATTCTTCTAACCGGCTAACGAAACCAGGAAGAGAAAATCTAAAAGAAAATGCACCTGAACCCATTGCATCGCTTTCTAGTCAAGCCTGCACAGGTCAGGTCTTGCTGATGACCACGGTAGCACTGTTAAGAGGCCCAAATGCCTCTAGAAGGGTTAGAATTCTCCTCGACAGTGGAAGTCAGTTTTCGTATATCAAACAGTCGTTAGTCTGGGGTATAGGAATAGAAAGAAAAGGCGAAATAACCATAGCTAAAAGTCTTTTTGGAGGTAATAAGATTGGTGAAGAAAAGCACGGTAAATTTATGTTAGAATTAGAGAATTTAGGTAATAAAAGAGATGTGATCCATATTGAGGCGCTGGATCAACGTAAAATTTGCGACGCCATACCACCTTTGCCGAAAGGAGACTGGTTAGAAAAATTGAAGATTAAGGGCATAATATTGTCTCAGGACAATTTTAAAGGACAAGAGATTGACATATTGATTGGCGCTAACTATCTAGGTATGATTTTGACGGGAAAAATAGTTCAAGTTGAAGCAGATTTAACTGCGGTGGAAACGAAATTAGGTTGGACCCTAATGGGCAATTCGCCAATTATTGATAGCAATGACAATGTGCAGCAGACTTTGAATCTGCTAACAACGCGATGCGATTTAAAGGATTTGTGGGATCTAGAAGTACTAGGCATTAGGGATCCTGTTGAAACTTGCTCCAAAGAGACCAGATATCAGGAAATAAAAGAAAAGTTTATAACAAAAATTCAAAGACAAAGTGATCAGAGATATTCTGTAGGTCTACCTTGGAAGGTAGAAAAGGAGTCAATCCTCAGCAATCTTGACATAGCGATAAAAAGGTTAGATATAAGCACTAAGAAAATGAACTCACAGAATAAGTTGACCGAATATAGTCAGATCTTTAGAGACTGGCTGACTGAAGGACTCATTGAAAGAGTCGAGGAAAATCCTCTCGAGAGAAGAGGCTATTATTTACCTCACCGCCCTGTGTACAAGATGGAATCTAAAACGACGCCCATACGTCCGGTTTTCGATGCTTCTTGTCTAGGCCATAATGGACTATCTTTGAATCAATGTTTAGAAAAGGGACCGAATTTATTGGAAAGAATCCCTGAAATGATGATAAGATTTCGGGAAAATAAATTTGGAGTCACGGCAGATATAAGAAAAGCATTCCAGATGGTGGCCATTGAAGAATCTGAACGGAACTACCTTAGATTCCTTTGGTGGGAAAAGGAGAGCGATAGAGAACTAATAGCTTACAGGCATAAGAGACTTGTATTTGGCTTAAACTGCAGTCCTTTTGTGCTGAACGCCGTAATAAAATACCATCTTCAATCAATAAGAGGCCCACTTGTTCAATGGGCAAAGATTTTAGCTCAATCCTTCTACATGGACAATTGTATTACCTCGCTGGAAACAAAGCAGGAAGTGCAGGAATTTCAAAAGGCCGCAATTGAAATTATGGACAGGGCTAAAATGGACTTACGAGAGTGGGAATATTCTCTGGAGGAAAACCCTGAAAAGGGGACTTGTACAAAAATATTGGGTGTTGTTTGGAATAAAATGGAAGATTCATTAAAATGCGAACTCCCTGACATTTTGAGTCTTCAACCCAAATTAACGAAAAGGTTGGTACTGTCCATGGTTCAGCGGATATTTGATCCACTTGGATTTTGCGCTCCAGTATTCTTGCCACCAAAGTTGTTACTGCAGCGATCATGGGGACTGAAACTAGGTTGGGATACACCACTACCCGAAAGTATGGCCCAGGAATTTCGAACCTGGTTGGATCAAATAAAATTCATAGAGTTAATAAAGATACTGAGATACATGTGGAATGATCTCATTTTCCCTACAGAAGTTCATATCTTTTGTGACGCTAGTCAAATAGGCTATGGAGCTGTAGCCTATTTACGGAGCGAAACGGGACGAGAAAATACTCTAACTTTGATTTGGAGCAAAGTCAGATTAGCTCCTATGAAGAGTATTACGATCCCTCGCTTGGAATTAATGGCCATGGTACTAGGAGCTAGACTAGCCAATGCAATCCAAGCTGCCTTGAAGAGAAAATGTGAAACAACTCTTTGGTCTGACTCTACTACCGCGCTAAGTTGGATAAAGAAAGAAATTGAGTGGAGAGTTTTCGTGAGAAACCGAGTCAGAGAAATACAGGCCACTACCAATTTGAACGATTGGAAGTTCGTTCCTAGTCAGTTGAACCCGGCCGATCTTCTGTCTCGAGGTTGCCCTCCAAGCCAGTTTGTGCAAAGCAGAAGGTGGGAGGGCCCCGAATGGTTGAAAAAACCTAAAGAATTCTGGCCCAATTCAGAGTTCTCGATAAATCCAAAAGAAATAAAGGTTGAAGAAAACATTATGAAAACCAACATTAATTTGAACATCGATTATAAAGACTGGATACTGACAAGGAGGTCTAATTACTCTCTCAACATCAGGATAATGTCCTATGTTTTAAGAATTGAAAGGGAAACCTCAATTAAAAGGATACAATGGATTCTCATCCCTCCTTCCGCTCCTTGGTGGGGAGGATTTTGGGAAAGAATGGTTAGGACCATAAAGGAAATGTTGATAAAGATGCTAGGTCACAGGAAGCTGAAATATGTACAACTGCAGACTGCCCTTTGTGAAATCGAATCTATCATTAATAATCGACCCCTCACTTATGTCTCTGAAGACGACAATGATCTAAAACCGTTAACTCCTAATGAGTTTTTACAAAATGGTCCGGAGTCTAGCTTTCCTGAATTTGAAAATTTAAAGCCAGAAATGTTGCACACTAGATACAGAGAGTTAGGTCAACTG